CGCCGCCTTAAGGCCGCCTTCCGATGCGGATCCAGCGGTTTCTGGTCGAGCTCTTCGAGCGGCCGGGCAGCAGCTCGGCGATCTTCTTCCACTGGTGGCCGAGCGTTTGGACGAAGCTGTGCAGGAGGGCGTCCTCCTCGGCGCTCCACGGCTGGTCTATGCTGGAGCCAGCATAGAAAGAGCCAGCATGATCGAACGAAGGGAGAAAGGGAATTTGCTGCGCCACGGCCGCGGTGGTGGGCTTCGCGATGACGTTGGTCAGCTGAGTCAGCTGCTCCGGCACGAGCGAGCTGCTTCGGGTGGACGATGACGCTTGCCGAGAACTATCGCGCACGCCGACGGGCGCGCCAGGGTGGTTAGAGGATCTGGGCATTTGAGTCGCCGTCGCGCCGACCATGATGACTTGTGACGCCTCGTCGTCAAAAAAATGTGTTGTTTCCTCTGAGCTCCCCGGCCCTGGATGTGAGGCTGCCAACTGCACTCCAAGTGCTCCAAGTTTCCCGTGCTGCAGTTAAGGGAAAACCTGGTACGCGGGGCTAACCCTCGGAGAGTATTCTCGTATTACTAGCTCCGAGTAGAGGGTGCGTTCTGCTGCTAGGGGAAACCCGGAGCGCGGTACTATCCCTCGGAGACCCGTGTTATGGCCCTGCGAACGCGCACCCCCCAGGGCTAGGGCTCTCTTGCCCGCAACCCGATGCCAATCACCCGGCCCGCTGGGTGCGCTTCTCAGCTCCCCGGCCCTGGATGTGCGACTGCACTCCAAGTGCTCCAAGTAAACGGACGTAGATGTGGGTAAACGGACGTAGATGTACGAAAGTACCTCGCCGAGAACGCCGTCGAGGTGGCGCGCGCAGCAGGGCAAAGTCAAGGCTTCTGACGGGCTGGGCTTCTGCCCGACCTTCAACCAGTCGGCTTACCTCCTTTTCTTTCCCTGTGTGGTTGCGCTCTGTGCCATTCTCCCAGACTCGGTATCTGAGCCTCAGGAGAAGAACATTATTGACCTGCGCCGGCCGTGTCCGGGCGGCGAGACGCCCGGCGTTCAGGCATGCCAACCGTAAAACGAGTTGTCTTGTACTACTTATGGATTGATGGACCTGCAAACGAAAGAGCAGCAACGGCTTTGGCGATAGATCAAAACGTCCGTGAAGAGATGAACAGCGTGTTACTCGATTGCGA